ATATTGAAAGTGACATGGGTTACCAAAAGAACCAATAGATCTGTTTTGGAAGAAGTGCAGCCAGAGTGCTCCTTGGAGGCCAAGATGGCCAAACTTCAACTCTCATACTTCAGACATATTGTCAAGAGAGACCAGTCCCTGGAGAAGGATATGTTTGGTAATGTGGAGGATCAGAGAGAAAGAGGATGACCCCAACGAGATGGATTGGCCAAATGGCAGCATTGATGGACTCAAGTGTGGCAACAGTAGTGAGGTTCGCCCAGGATCGGGCATTGTTTCATTCTGCTATGCATAAGGTTGCTATGGGTTGGTTTAGACTCCATAGCACCTAACAACAATAATAATGTGCTTCTGGCTGTTGACTCTTAGAGCTATAATTATATTTGATACACGTAGCCCTTCTTCCTTAATATTAATTGAAGATGAATGTTCCAGTTTCAATCAAAGTTTTAAAAAATTACCTATCTATTTGGTACCTACTTTAACAGACAAGACAGTTGGTCTGTTTCCCAGCATCAACTCAACAAAAGGCAACTTGACTAAAGAGGCTTCCACTAAGCAATCCCAATTCAAATGTTTTTGAATAAGATTTAGACTTTCTAAGTTTAACAGCATGCTTTGAAGTGCACTCAGAACATATTGGAAGAATGTGCAGGCTACAGAATATGTTTTAATCTATTTTATGTAACTAAGCTACTCATAGAAGAAGAAAGAAAACTTCTTTTCTTGATGTAATTTTTAAGACAGTTTCCAAAATCTTTTCAGAAAGAATATGGTATAAGTGTGCCATCATGAGGTAACAAAGATAATGTTAATTTTTGTTTCAAAAATCAATAAGTAGGTCAAATTTAGTTGCATTGCTTTGAGCCTATATAATGATGAGAATAGTAATATTAAATTATAGGAAAAGGCATCATTAATTCACAGATGAATACTTTAAAAATATATTACACCAGTTATGTGGTCTTTACCCTTATGGAGTTCACGGTTTCCATAAAGAATAAATTTCAGTGCATATTAAAAATAAAAATGTAAGTGTCATGTAAATGGTATAATGTGTCCTAAAATAAGTATAAAAGCCACTACAAACTCAATGTTAGAACTTTTTAAATTCTTTAAATTTTCCTAAAAGACACACACAGAATATATTGTCATTTCAATATTGTGTGAGTTCTGTGCTAACATACCTTAGAATCAACTAGGCATCTATAATACTAAGTTTTAAGCCTCAAGATGTCTTTCCCCAAATTTTGCTGTAGTGGGAGAAATCCCCTTGTTGATTATTATTGTATTCCATCGGCTTGATTGCAACTCATAGAGATTTCATTTGTAACAGAAGGAAACATCCAGTTCTGCACCATCCTCACAAATTTTGCTATTCTTGAGTCCATTGTTACAGTTGTTGTGCTAATCCATCTCACCGAGAATCTTCCTCTTTTTCACATGACCCT